TAAGATTATCTTATATTCTATCAAATTTGGAGATGGTGAATATATTGCCATGCGATTGATTTGTCTGTCTGTTTGTCTGTCACCTGAACCTGACATTTCTCGCTAAATCCTTGATTATAATCGGATTAAAACACGCTATGGCGCTGCAGAATTAAACAGAAATGTTTGTTGTGTATTTGTGTTCGAATTCGAAACTATTTTATAGTTATAATCGACTAAAAGATTATTTAACCAATATAATTTAACTGTTGATGAATGTTATAAATATTTTAAATAAGATAATGCTTTATACCCTTACACGATACCAATGAACAAAATTTATTGATGTAAATCCTTCAGAGTCATTTATTTGTGTTCTGATTTATGAAACGCAATTTCAATAGAGACCAGTGTTGACATTAAACATTGGTGCTCTTTATTCTTGGTTGCATAACAATCTCCTTAGATAAACTAATAGGTACGCCACTGAGCGCCCCACCCCTTAAAAAATCCTGAAACAACAGGCAATTTAAATATCTTACATAGGGGTATATAATACGTAAAAATGCATAAAAAGAAGAGAGAAATATATTAGGCATTTTATTATGAATATATATTAAGTGCGTTTAATTGCCAGATTTGAGTTCAAAACGTTAAAAAGCTTTTCATTTAATGTCACTGCATAATAAAAATGAGGTTTCAAGAAAAAATGGATATCCTGAAATATTGCGTACGAGCAGTTGGTACTTGAACCTCCATAAAAAAGAATAACCATTTGGAAGAATAAATTGACAGTACCGTCAGGTCAAAATACCTCAGTCGAATCCGTTTAATGTACATGTATATGTTTAACTTGCGTTCATTTTGGACAAGTCTTCAAATTTTAAGCATGTTTTGTAATAATTGTTCATGATGATATATAATCATGATTAACGGTAACTAAATTGATGTTTTCTTGATTTTTTTCTTGCATGCAATTAAAACGTCAGACGCACGCGTAAACTGAGAATTGAGATGAACCAGAAATCTAATTTGTTCTTCAAAATTTGTTTATACCATATAATAGGGCATTAAATGTTATGTTAAACTCGATTTATTTATCCTACTTTCTATTTTCAAAAAGTACATTGCCCTCATTTCTAATTTGTGACGCCATTTCAAGTTTTACCGTTTGTCCCATGTATTTGAAATACTTTTTATACGCTGTACTTTGCTTAATTCTTTGCTCAGGCCATTAATAATAATAATAATGATAATATTATACTTGTATAATTGTTTAGTTATTTGGTTACTTAAATCATATAGAAATTGTATAAATCGGGTTAGGACATTTATCCTTTCACTATTTCCTGTCTCAGAATGAATGATATTCAAATCTTATATGGGACAGGACACTCATAAGCTTTCATAGCTTTCTGCCCAAGCCCAAATGTGTTGTGTCATAATGTAAATATATCGAATAAAATATGTTTAAACCAAATCGTATACGTTGTAACTTGAATTAAATTGTTGTTTCTATTGTTGATGTAGTCCTTGTTGTTCAGAAAGCATTGTATAATTATCGTTAATGATTCTATATTTTCATGAATAATATATCACTATTATAACTGTATTTATCATTGTTATTATTTTTCAGTTATAACACGTGTTACTGGTCATAGATCGTCGCCTTAGTGCAGAAACGGGTCAACTTATTATATAGTTGAAAAGGAATTAACCCGTTACTGCGCCAACGTGACGAGACGTTAGGCATGAGCATGAACAGAATGTCAAATACAGTTGCAAATTATCATTTACACTTATGTTATTATCAACCTTTGTATAAGATGGTACTAATGAAGTGTTTCATTTGCATTCCAAGTCTTTCTAAACTGCCAACTGAAATTATCCTGTAAATATATATCTTTAAAAATAAACCATGATCACAATTATACAATCATACGATAATGTATTTATATTCATGAGAATACAATGTTCACCAGCGTAAAACCGAAAGTTTTACTTTTATTTTAGATTTATTATTTTGCCAACATTCCGATATGCGTAGCTGCTTAGTACCACGAATGTTGTTTAATGCTTCAAACATAAACAGTCCAACAAACAACAACAACAACATGTATTTTTATATTCAGCATTCAACAATATATTTTCATTTTGTGTTTTTGTGTAATATCACGTGAATAAGTTTAATCATGATTTAACATTCTTCATTAATTCGTGTTATTATTTACAATGCATGTGCTTAACAATTTGAAAATTGGCAAATGGTTTCTAGACTTTTTGAGCTGCATTCAAAGCATAAAAAACACACATAAGATTCATCTAAAATATAATTTGAATATTGGCAACTGTTTTCTATATTTTGTTATAAATTTGAGTTGCTTTCATATTATAAAAAAACATCTTTTTGAAATCAGATCTGACTGTTGGGCTTTTGTTGTATGTTATGCCAAATCATACAAATTAACAATTAAAAACAATAATGAGATATTCTTTTTGTCTGACAAAAACAAATCTTTGCTGACGCCAGTCCTGCTATGAATATATGAAAACATCCTTGATGAATCATTAATAAAAGTATTTTTGGAAGAATTTCAATTTTTTGGATGATATTTTAAAATACAAGACACATTGTCTGTAAGTCAGTCTGTTAAAGAAATCTCAATAAGATGGTTATTCGCCTATAGCTTGACCATTGACATTCTGAAAGCATTTTGCCGTGCACGGCCTTACACCACTGAACTCTATACGTGTACACTTGGTACATACATAATTAAAACTAAGATTCGAGAAGAATCAAAATAAGCCCGCTGAAAGTGAAAAACAAGTACTTTATTAGGGATAATGAAACAAAGCACAGTTTTACTGAAACGTATATGTGAAAAAGGTTTTTCCTTTGAAAAAAAACCGATGACCAAAGTCACTTGACAACCATAAAGGGAAGCAATTCTGTGTCTAAGCTTCAGTGGGCGCTCTTGAAATAGAATTATAAATGCCAGAAAATATAAAGCGATCGAAAAAACTAGAGCTAATACAGTTATTAATATTTGTACACTTTAAAGAAAGCGATAATCGGTCATGAATAAATAATAACTCCCGGGTCATTATCCTTTAATTGGCCGATTATCATCTTCCGGTCATTCCCTGTCGTGTATTAATCTCTTAATCTGATTAACACCCTTAATGGAATTGACCATCTTCAGCTTGGAACTGGCTTATATCGATTTCGGGGATCACAAGATAGAACAGAACAGAACAATTCTGTTCTTATATCATTTTACTCCGTCTGCCTTTGACTAATCTTTCAAATTGGCATCAATGTAACCTTTTACAGTTAAGAATTATAGTTAAACCAACAGTATACTTTTGATTATTTTGTAAGCGGACCAAGCCACGATATGTTAACAAACCTTGAGATTTAATTATTGTTTTGTCACGTATGCTGTATTGGACCACCACATATTACATGAGTTTACAAGATTTTAGCCAAAGTGTTTCAATGTAATTGTTTCTAATGAGAATTAATTGATATGATTTTGATTCATATCATATCATCATTACTGATGGTTTGGAATACTCGATGTCTTAATTAATTGAATACTTTTACACCAAATAATTTCGACGTATATTGTTATAAACCTCGTTGTCTGTCCGTCCGTCCGTCTATCTGTCCGGTCCGTATCTTTTGAACCAGTGAAAGGAAATTGAGACTACTCCGCAGAAATAATGACTATAATGAGACGAGATCAAGTCCAAGATCATTTCAAAATTTCGTGTCCGCTCTGTATTTTTTGATGTGGTAGAAAGAAAAGCAAAAATATTGGAAATATAAGATGATGTGCAAAACACAGGTATGGGCCCCCCTGGGATCAAAATTGGCACCGGCTCGGCGATAACTTGATTTATAAAGACAAATATGGGAAAACACATTTAAGTTTTATCGTGTGAAACCACAATGTCTGGAGCTTAGATATTTAGTAAGCAGTTAGTTTGCCTTATTGACCGTTACCAGACTGCTATAAATTGTGCCCCTGGGTCAGTTTTGGTCCCGCCGCGGGGTCGTTAAGTAGCTGAAGTCTTGTATAAGAAAACACAATCATCAACATCTTATTTTGTGAAACTACTTGGCCTACAGTTTGAACATGTGTCATGTAGCATAGTCTTGTTGACAAAATTTGTATAAATTATACATCTAGGGTTAATATTTGCCGAACCTCTGGGGTCACTTGTTATAGACTACTGATAAGAACATTTGCAGAATTATGCCCAATTTTCTACGTTGATTTGATAGAACTATCCAGCAATGCGGGCTTTCCCCGGACAGGTTTTGTTGCTGGGTCGTGTAGGGGTTGCGTTCTTTGAACGTCGTCTTTCCTTGATGATCTTGTTTATCATATGGTTAGAATATGTCATGGCTCTAATTGTTGTTATACTGTTTCGGTTCAATGCGACACAAGCAATGATAAGTTATTGTGACAGTGTTACATTGACATCGGGACTGAAGGAAAGAGAAAGCAAATCTATTTTCTTTTTTCTCAATGCTTGACAGTATGATAAAAGCAAAGTAGCAAAGAATACGACATTTTTGACAATTGACTTAAACAAAAAGGTTAATAAATCTTTTTTCTTAAGTTAAAAGGGATGAATTTTAGGATTTACTGCTCTTTTGAAAAGCATTCTCTATAAGTCAGTGAATTTTTAAAGTTTGAAATGTATACCTTTCATAAAAAACTGTTTAACTGTATAGTCAGGACATCAAATATCATATATATCTATAACAACAGTATGTTTTTAATTTTAATGAAATATTTATATACAGAACAAAACAGTTCAAAATGCAAATCAATAAGACATGCTTTTTAACTGGTGAAAACTATAAACTTGTTAATGTACAATGTGCTGATAACGGCCATAGTTTATGACGGACTGATTTTATCAAAATGTGAACATAAATTATTAACTGTACATAAAGTAGTGTTTTGTCTTTAAAATCCATACATTAGCGTGAAATGTTAGTTTTTAAAAAGCTGTTGCGATTCAATTCTCTTACTGTTTAGAAAAAGCAAATGGGAAAATGGCATTATTTTATGTGTATATTTTTGTGCTGATTATATATGAAGCAAGTGCTGTAGTAAACTTCAGGATTACTAGTTTTAAAACGAATACATCGTCTAGTTCTATTTTGTATATCGTCAATGGAATCACTGTCAAACTATGTGTAGAGGAATGTTCGTCACTTTTCGGCTGTTCCGCTGTCAACTATAAACGGCTTTATAATCTATGTGAACTTCATTCAAGTCAGCACGAGAACCGCGTGGCTCGTCCTGGCGAATCGTGCGTATATATTAAAAGATCAGACATGCATGGTGAAGATGTAAGTGTTAAAGAATAACAAAAATAGTTTGTTTGTTCAATCTTTTGTCTTTTTTTCCTTTTTCTGAAACACAATTGTTTTTCATGCAGCTGTAAAAAGTTGCCCCGTACTTCACTTTATTGTTGTTATATTTTCCTGTTGTAATATTTTTATTCTTCGGGATCATTTATGCCAGCATTATTAAGTATTGAGAATTTAGTACCGTTCAAGCCGGTGCTAGGGTTGCACTTATTCCTTGTCTCTCGTGTACAGACTCAATCAGACCGATTCTGCACTTTTCATGTAGTTGTGTTGTGATTAATGTTTTCGGGGGATCACTTTGTTTCCAGATTTTCATTATCATTTCTTTTTAAAAAATCAAAAACTTGTTGCTTTTTCCATATCGTCAAAATTTATCTATTAATCTATTTATTTGTTTGTGTGGTTTAACAGCACACCAACAAAGAATAGGCCATATGGTGCAAAAATGAAATGTACTTTTCATTTACCTCGGGTAAAAACCATCTAACCAGGTGGAGATAAGTGGCTGTAATTTGAACCCATTTAATCGAGTCTAACGACCTCACAGGAAGGAAAAAACAGTGGCTGCAGTTATTTTTATGCCTCAAAATTTAAGGCAACCTTTCTGAGGGTTTTCTATATTTCCTAAAAAATAGAAATCGTTAACCATATCTTAATAAAACTATTTGTTTCATAAACACAAAATATTTAAAAAAAAGTGTATTGTCAATAAAATACTGACAATAATAAACTGTATATTAAGAAGAATAATCCGAAAATTATTTAATAAAGAGATTTTTTAATGTTTCAGTTGTCGACAGGTGGCTGTCAAAGTTGTGATGATAGGGACACTTGTGACAACATCCAGTGCGTCCCTAAATGTAAGTGAAATTTAAGAGAGATACACGTAATTATTATATTCTATTATTGAAACTTTAAAATGCACGAGTGTTTAATTCTCAATTTGTCACATTACTATTGATATTTTTAGACCGTCCATGGCCAAGATGTTAGGATAACCACTGTTCCGTACCGTTATGGTACATTGGACTCTTTCAAGTCACGACAGAAGGAACTTCTAACAATATAGTTAAAAAAGATAAATCGCTGGTATGCGTCAAGGGAGGTGTATTGAATAAATTTTTGATGGAGACAGGAAACAAAATATATATTCCAATGTTTGTGAGAGCTATAAGTATCAAAGGGGGATGCTCCGTCGTCCGTCGTCATGCGTCAACAATCGTCTTCTTCTCTGAAACTGCTGGGCATATTTACTTCAAATTTGGTCTGTAGTATCCTTGTGACAGTCACACTTGAATTTGCTCATGTCATTTCAATTGGCCCCTTTAAGAGGTCAACAGAGCTAAATATAGAAAAAAAAACCTTAAAACATCTTGCTCTACAGAACTAAATGATGGATGATCACCAAACTTTGTCTGTAGCGTTCTTGGGTAGTCTTTTATCAAGTATGCTCATATTAATTTGATTGGCCCCTTTAAGGGGTCAACAGAGCTAAATATAGAAAAAACCTTTAAACATCTTGCTCTACAGAACTAAATCGATGGATGATCACCAAACTTTGTCTGTAGCATTCTCGGGGAGTCTTTTATTTAGTTTGCTCATATTAATTTGATTGGCCCCTTTTAGGGACCGCTAAAGCTAAAAATAGAAATACCTTTAAACGTCTATTTCTACAGAACAAATTGATGGATGATCACCAAACTTTGTCTGTAGCATTCTTAAGTAGTCTTTTAACAAGTTTGCTCATATTAATTTGATTGGCCCCTTTTATGGGTCTCTTGGGCTTAAAATAGAAAAACCTTTAGACATCTTCTTCTACAGAACTAATTGATGGATGATCACAAAATTTTGTCTGTGGCATTCTTTGCTAGTCTAATATCAAGTTTGCTCATGTTAATTTGATTTGTCCCTTTTAGGGGCGGTTAAAGCTAAAAATAGAAATACCTTTAAACGTCTATTTCTACAGAACTAATCGATGGATGATCACCAAACTTTGTCTGTAGTATTCTTAGGGGTAGCCTTTATTTAGTTTGCTCATATAAATTTGATTGGCCCCTTTAAGGGACCGCTAAAGCTAAAAATACCTTTTAACGTCTATTTCTACAGAACTAACTGATGGATGATCACTAAACTTTGTCTGTAGCATTCTTAGGTAGTCTTTTGACAAGTTTGCTCATATTAATTTGATTGGCCCCTTTTAGGAGTCTCTAGGGCTAAAAATAGAAAAAAAAACCTTTAAACGTCTATTTCTACAGAACTTATTGATGGATGATCACCAAACTTTGTCTGTAGCATTTTTATGTAGTCTTTTATAAGTTTGCTTATATTCATTTGATTGGCCCCTTTTAGGGGTATCTAGAGCTAAAAGTAGAAAAACCTTTCAACATCTTCTTCTATAGAACTTATTGATGGATGATCACCAAACTTTCAAACTTTGTCTGAAGCATTCACGGGTAGTCTTTATCAATTTCGCTCATAATAATTTGATTGGCACCTTTTAGATGCTGGTAAAGCTAAAAATAGAAATACCTTGAAACGTCTCCGTCTACAAAACTTATTGATGGTTTATCACCAAATTTGTTTGTAGCAGTCTTAGGTAGTCTTTTATCAAGTATGCTCATATTAATTTGATTGACCCCGTTTAAGCTAAAGCTTAAATGATCCAGGTCATGGCAGTTCTTCAAATTACTGTTTAAAGACATTATACGCTCAAATTTAATATAAGAAAACATTGACAATGGATAATTTCAAACACTGAAAAGCAGTTGTTTCTGGTGATCGACTCAGGGCCATCATGGTCCTCTTGTTTGAAGAACTAAAAGGTGTGTTTTCACTTAACCGTTTTAATCGATTCATACTAGCATTATATACAATGCTGTCGATAAAATTTTAATGTAACTGTGGGACAGTATAACACAAAACAGTTTGTTTAATGAATCAAACGTTCACGCTTAATTAAATACTAGTAGTTTTTGCATGTTGAAGGAATTTCTTTTGCTTAGTTGCTTTATATAATCGAGGCTTACGTATATATTCCATTGAACAAACAGAAAGTATGTTATTATGGCTGTGCTAAAATTATTTTCGTTATTTCGTTGATCTTTGTTCTTATTTGCTATAGTAATATGACACTTATAAATATTTTTTCAGTGCATCCTCATTTTTCAAAATCTTATTTCCGGTTAATTACAATCTGGAATAAAAAAAAGAAACAACAACAACAAAAAGACAACAACAAAAAAAAAGCAAACAAAAACAAACAAGAGAAAACATTATAAACAGAAGGAATGCCATTCAACCTTCGTCCCGCTACGTTAACATATTTTACTCGTGCGGCGAGTGCCATCTGACCATGGTCTGAACTATGTACGATTCAGGCACGGAAAATTCTTAAGTCCCCTTCCCCCACACCCCCCCCCTCGACAAAAAATGACTTTGTCTAGATTGGAAGATGGGTAAATCTGTCTGAGAAACTTAGCGTGTTCAACATAAATATCGCGTTCTTTTTTTTTTAATGAAATATCTGTTTCATTTATCTATAGCATGTGCAGCCCTTGAAGTGAAGAATGGTGTTATACGTGGCAATATGAAAGCAGTTGGTTCGCTCGTAGTAATCGCTTGTGACAAACTTTTCAAGGACATTTCTGGAAAAACGCATACAGTCTGTCAGAGTAATGGGTCGTGGACACATTATCCGAATTGCACACTGGGCAAGTACTGTTTGCTGCGTTGTATGCAAAGAAACAAGAAGTATCTTTAAAAATAGATACTCATTGTGAATGTCGTTTATCTCAAAGAAAAATATTTAAGTAATTGAAGTTTAATCAAATCGAAATTTCAAAAGAAAGCTTGAAAATGAAAACACTTTGTTGATACGAAATACCCGAAACCCCTTTGGAAATAACGACAGAAACCAAAAAAAAAACAAAAAAAACAAAAAAACAATCGACAAGCATTCATTTTAAACAAACCATTCAATCGTTAGCAGTTGTATAAATACTTCAGTAGTATGTAAGATACATAAAATTATCAGATTTGTTTCCATTTCACATAAATAACTGATAGTACCGGATAAGTTCGTTTACTTGTGTGCTTTTCGCTATTTTCATTTTTTTCTTCAACGGGATCGTGGATGTAAGTGAAATTGGCGGTTTCGTTAATGTTTTAGTGCTTTTTTGTCATCTAGTTTATTATTGTTACAGGTTACGTATACATGGGTTGCTATCAAGACATAAAAGATAGAATTCTTTCCGGAAAACATTTCTCATCTAGATCAATGACGACAGAGATGTGCGTTATGGGGTGTTTTGATTCTGGTTTTATATATGCCTTAACCCAGGTAAGTTTATCTTTATTTCTTTTCAATAATATTGACAAATGGGATAGTTTTCGGTATAAATCTATATCACCGGTGAACCCTTTTCTTACAAAATTCGTTGATAAAAATGCATTGTAGAGTATAAATATGTAAATATATCATTAAGGCACCACTCTGCTTCATGCCAAGCTTATGTGTAGAACATCAAAGGCACATTATGCCTTAGAAATGAATAAATGTTTCATTCTTTTGAAAGGGCAGGCACTTATTACTTTTTAACATCTAAAAATGGTTTTAGAGCATGTTACATGGGGTTTAGAATTCATAATCAGCTATGGGGGGAAGGGAACGGATATCGAATTCAAAATCATCTATGGCCGAGAAGGGAGGGGGATATTGAATTCAAAATCATCTATGGCGGGGAAGGGAACGAGTATTGAATTTAAAATCATCTATGGAGGGGGAGGGAACTGATATTGAATTCAAAATCATCTGTGGCGGGGAGGGAACGGATATTGAATTTAAAATCGTCTATGGCGGGGAGGGCACGGGTAATGAATTCAAAATTATCCATGGCGGGGGAGGGCACGGGTAATGAATTCAAAATCATCTATAGCGGGAGAGGGAACGGGTATTGAATTCAAAATCATCTATGGCGAGGGAGGGAACGGGTAATGAATTCAAAATCGTCTATAGCGGGTAGGGAGGGGGCAATGAATTCAAAATAAGCTATTGCGGGGAGGTAGTGGGTAATGAATTTAAAATAAGATATGGCGGGGAGGTGTTGGTAAGTTGTTATATTCGATATCAGTAACACTCCATTTTTTGTTTCTTCATTCATCTACTTATGTATGGATGTAGGAAATAATATTCATATCTACTTCCGATTTTAGTACAGTAGTCAATGCTATTGTGGGGACACACTAAAGATGTCCAGACAGCTAGCAGAAACAGAATGCAGTATGCGCTGCAGTGGAAATGCAAGTCAGATATGTGGGGGCGTATGGAAAGGTTCGCTGTACAAACAAGTTTAAAGAGACTAATGTCACTGCTACATACATTTTCTTAATTTCTTTGCAAAATAACAACAATGCACTCTGAACAAATTGTTGTTTGGTACATTGTGTTAGGAAATTTCATGATTCTGAATTAAAATGTGAAAGATCTGTCTTGAATTTGTGAAATATTCGCGTGGAAATAAATAACACTTTTTTCATTCTTGTAGTGTTTCTACATTTCTGTCAAACAATGCCATTTACACAATGGCCATAGCTTTCGCAGAAGCGGCGGGTTCATCGCAGCGGCGGTGGAGTATTCGTCGCAGAAGCGGTGGATAAAATATGGCGGTTTGCTGTTGTCAGTACATATAAGACTGAATTTTGTTTTATGTTTTAATGTTTTACTTGAAACACTCAGTGAGACTGGAGACCACATATGTACTCTTTCAACCTATTACACGGACACGGTGCAATTCATTGCCGTTTATGCAAACACTTCTGTACAGTTTGATGAGAGGACGCCACTTTTGCCTAAGTTTGGTTAAAACACATACAAATGTGTGCAAAACGACACTATCATACATCGGCATCACATCGAATGAATGATACTTTCACAAATTAACTATAATTTGGAAAACTGGGAAATTATTATTGCATATTTGTAAAATAAATGACAACAATTTTTTTCGTCGTAGACGGCGGTGGATTCGATTGCAACGCAGTGCGGTGGGTCCGATATCATTTTTGTATATTTTAAGAATTTAACTTGACGTAACGCACTTTTCATTTGAGTACCGTCCTTTTCTTACTTTGACATCTGAGAACGTGTTTATTTGATGTTTAAAGCGATATTAATTATTATATATACGCTCGGACAAATATATGTCCGAGGTCCGCTTTCATTTTCCTTCCATTGAAAAAGACTTTAGCCATAATTATCATAGAATAATCCACGTTCAACAATATATTGCGGGTTATTACTAAGTTTCAAGTATTTTTTAGTGTGAAAGCACCTTCCAGTTGAAAAGTGCAGGAAAGTAAGAACATATATTGTGCCCTTTATCATATTTTTATTTCCAAGTTCATATTAGGGATCATGCATTTGACAACCTGGACCCTAGAGGAAACGGCGGAAACTAAGAGTCATAATATTTGACCTTGATGCATCACCGAATGGAAATTTAGCAATGTGCAGGGAATTCCACAATGCGATGAATCCAGCCAAAATATCACATGTGTCAGACATTTACATGTTACACGTGATCACGTGTTATACTTTATAACCAATGCCGATTTCTGACTTATTAAAAGCGGCATGGCAGGGATATATATATATATATGCATATATTTTTGCATTTCGGCATTACGTTCTAAAAACATAGGGTTAACACATATTCATGGCATTTTCGAGAGTATCAAAATATTTATAAAGATTTTGAAAGATTATATAATATGGCCGTATATAAACGGTTGTTTGAAAATATAATACATAAACATACAATTTCTTATTAAATAAACAGCAGTCGTGTATATAAATATATAAACTTTATAAAACTGCATGTTTGTAACGTAATTTTTCATTGGAAAATCGAGACGTTTATTTTATTATAGAGATTTTTGGTTTATTTGTAACTTTATTTCTGATTTTTACACACATGTACAAGTATTATAAAGAATTTCGACAGCTAGCTATTAATATTGCGAAAAACTGTTTATATACGACCATATAACCTGTTGGATTTATTTATAACGAACTCATAATACATTAAGCATTTTTGTTAGAAAAAAATGAGATAATTTTATAAATTGACGGCAGCCATGTATTTAAAAAGTACATTGTATGTATATAAACGTCAAGATTATACAATGAAAAGTGACGTAACAAACGTGCAGTATTATAAACACATACGAGCAAAATTAAGGGGGTTTAATATAATCATATTCTTTAAATTAAGCATAATGCTTGAATACGATAACATTAACATTTAGAGCGAAAAAAAAACTTAACTCATTACCTGTACGTGAATTTGATTTTATCCTTAATTGTGGTTATTTCAAGGTCATATAACTTAAATGCAAGTCTGAAAAATCTTTTATCCCCGCTTTTTATGTTCTTCACTATATTTGTGTACATTTTCAAAGAAAGACTTCCATAAAATATTTCTATGACATTATTTTAATTTCATTTCATACTTTAAAATTCTTTAAACATCTACCATATCTGAAACCAATTCTTTCCGATAAATATCACAATTTAAGAAAAAGAAGAAAAACTAAAGCTATTAAACACGTAGGTCTTTGCAAAAAAGTAATAAAGAAAACTTTTCCTGAAATAACTCTTACGCTGTAAACATAAAATTTATTTAAATTGGTGTTCTCAGTATATGGTAATATAACACAGTGACAATAAAAACTGAGGTTGTTTTTGTGCCCCCACGTTAGTGGCGGGCATTTAGATTTACCCTTGTCCGTCTGTCCGTCCGTCCGTCCTTCCGTCCGTCCTTCCGTCCGTCCTTCCGTCCGTCCGTCCGTCCGTTCACTTTTGTGTCGCACGTAACTCAAAAAGTATTTGACCTAGAGTCATGAAACTTTACAGGAATGTTGATCAGCATGTGAAGTTGTGCACCTGGGTATTTTCGTCTGGATATTTTTAGTATTTTCAGAGTTATTGCCCTTGACTTAGTAAAATTTTGCAATTTTCAACTTGTGTCGCATGTAACTCAAAAAGTATTTGACCTAGAGTCATGAAACTTAACCGGAATGTTGATCAGCATATGTAGTTGTGCACCTGGGTATTTTTGTGTGGATATTTTTAGTATTTTCAGAGTTATTACCCTTGACTTAGTAAAATTTTGCAATTTTCAACTTGTGTCGCATGTAACTCAAAAAGTATTTGACCTAGAGTCATGAAACTTTACAGGAATGTTGATCAGCATGTGTAGTTGTGCACCTGGGTATTTTTGTGTGGATATTATTAGTATTTTCAGAGTTATTGCCCTTGACTTAGTAAAATTTTGCAATTTTCAACTTGTGTGGCACGTAACTCAAAAAGTATTTGACTTAGAGTCATGAAACTTTACAGGAATGTTGATCAGCATGTGTAGTTGTGCACCTGGGTATTTTCGTCTGGATGTTTTTTTGTATTTTTAGAGTTATTGCCCTTTACTTAGTAAAATTTTGCAATTTTCAACATGTGTCGCACGTAACTCAAAAAGTATTTGACCTAGAGTCATGAAACTTTATAGGAATGTTGATCAGCATGTGCAGTTGTGCACCAGGTATTTTCGTCTGGATTTATTTAGTATTTTTAGAGCTATTGCCCTTCACTTAGAAAATTTTTGCAATTTCAACTTGTGTCGCAAGTTACTCAAAAAGGATTTGACATATTCATTAAACCTTACGGGCAGATTGCTCAGCATATTTAGATTTGCACCTGGGGTTTCG